TTTTCAGAGTTCTCTAAAAAAAGAGAAGTAGAGGATGTGTATATAGATACATACATTTATTTTAAAGAACAGGTTTGCATGATAGTCGAGGCTTGGTAAGTCCAAAATCTGCAGGTCAAGTCAGCAGATGAGATCCAGGAAGAATTACAGTTTGTTTCTGAAAGGAGTATGCTAGCTGAATTCCTTTTTCCTCAGAGGAGGTCAATCTTTGTTTTATTAAAGTCTTCAACTGATTGGATCAGCCCCATAGATACTGTGGCAAGTGATCTAATTTACTAAAAGTGGAAGATTTAAATGTTAATCTTATCCCCAAAACATGTTCACAGAAAATCCAGAATGACATCTGACTAAATATCTAGTCACTGTGACCTAGCCAAGCTGACACATAAAATTAACCATCACAATAGCTGAGAGTGGAATTGCTGATATATGGTAATTCTGTTTTCGAGGGAGTAACAGACTGTTTTCCAGAGTGGCTTGACTATTTTACATTCCCACTAGAAATATCTGTGTGTTCTAATTTAATTTCTCTACATCTTCTGGCCAATACTTTTTAATCTGGGTATGATCTTGTCTTTTTTTTGGACTGCTTCTCATGTCTTTTTGTTTGTTTGTTTGTTTGTTTTTTGAGTCAGGATCTTGCTATGTAATGCAGGCTGGCCTTGGACTCACTATGTAGCCTAGGCTGGCCTTGAACTCACAGCAATCCTCTTGCCTCAGCCTCTTGGGTGCTGGGATTACAGGTGTGTGCCACCACACTTGGCTTTGCTTGTTATGTCTTGTATCTAGATGTCCCCCCAAAATCTCATGTGCTCATATATAGGGCCTTTCAGAGGTGGCTGGACCTAGGTTTGTGAATGTGGATTAAAGGTGTGTGATCACTAAATTATTCCACTCATTTGTTTAGTGTAGTTCTGGGCATGGATGATAGGAAGATCCACTCTTGGTGTGATGGTACCACACAAAAGGCTTGTAGCCAGGCTGGGGTGAAAGGGAAAGAGAGGCTTGCTGTTGCTGCTTCACTGCTTCGTGGCTTCCTGCCTGCTCTGCCATGGACTTTCTTCTCTATGATGTCCCTCTGCCATGCCGCTCTGCCTTGGAGCCAGCCAGCTATGGACAATGAGCTCTAATAAGCCTTTCTCTTTTAATTTGTGAGTGTCAGGTATTTTGTCTCAGCAATGAAAAAAATAACTAAGACACTGATTGACTAGCTAATTTTAAAAGAGCCCTCTTCATTTCTTTCTACTATGATTCAATTGTTATAGGTCAGTGTAGAAGAGCTGTACTGTATGTAGATTTTATACTAAGTGCTGGGTATAGAGCAGTAAACAACATAAATATGGTTTCTTTTCACCTTCTTACCAGGATGCTATATGCCTAACTAGGTTTGGGGTTCAACATCCCTCACTTATCTGTATGTTTATTTGCTTTCCTATACATTTGGAGAGTTTTCTGCATTTATTTTTGTGAATAGGGTTCTTATGCCATTTGTGCTGTTTTCTGATTTTTCACTTATTCTAATTATGCTTAGGTTAGTCTTCTTTTCATCACCCTGCAGCTGTTAGATCCATTTTTGATTTTCTCTTGTTGCTTTCCAGATGACTTTGAGTAGTTGTCTTCAAAGGCATCATCGTCTTCTAATTCTGAAGTTCTGTGCTCACATTGGTCACTTTGGCTGCCCATACTTTCAGTGTAATTTTTAATTTCCTGGATTTGTGATTGAAACCTTTTCATGGACTTTAATTTTTTGCTAAACTGGTCATTCATGTTTGGTACAGTTTTAACTCAGTTTTCTTTTCATTAGTATCTTTTGAATATCCCTGGATCATCTCATTACTTCCATTACCTGTTTAGTCATATCTTCTGTGATCTTGCTGAATACCTCTTGGATCCGTTTTCTAATCTCCTCTATTATCCTTTCAAGTAATTCAGGGGTATGTCTTATGCTATTCTTCCCCTTGATGTTCTCTGAGTTGGCTTTTGGGGGAGTTGTGAGTTCAGGGAGGCATTTTGTTGCTTTTTCTTCTCATGTTTCTATTGTTTTGTTTTTTATACTGAGGTTTGTGGACATTTGTAGTATAAAATCTCTGTTTCTAGTGTATAGATTTCTTTGTGGCTTTTCAGTATAATTTGGGTGTGGCTCAGTGTAATCTTTTGCCTCAGCCTCAAGATCTGTCCACCTTCATTAATTTGGGAGGGGAAGATGCAGCATAATTGGCCCAATACACAGTTCTCTGGGAATGTACTCTAGTATTGTTAATGTCACAAGGGTAATCTGAGTATTGAGTTACAAAGAAAACTCACTATTTGCAGCAATTATACAACACTGGCAATACAAAGCAAATCAGCTACAGTATTTGTCCAAGACAAACTGAATATTAACATACCAGAAAAACCAACTATGTACCACCCTAGAGAAAAAAATCCACAATTATAGCATAAACATTAAGACAACATAGGTATTGACTTATAGCTAATATGTACTAGATGTGACAGCTATGTCTCTGCTAATGGTAAAAAAGATTAAATGGCAATTTTACAGAGTCAATGAGCTAAAGATTAATAAAGTTTTATGGTTATACTATTAATGGTATAGGGGTTGGGAATGGGATGCAAGAGGAAAAGTTGGAAACATTAGCTATATGATGTAACAAGAGGAGAAGCAGCACAAAGTATCCTACGAGGGAGTAGAAGGATGTTTATTTAAAAACTGATGAGAAATAGAAGATAAAAGAAAAGAGGGAGGAAAAAAGAAATTGCATGGAGAGTAAAAACTAGAGAGAAAAATAAAGGTAAAAATTAAAAGAGAAAAGAGGAAAAAAAGAAGAAAAAGAGATATGAAGCAAGGAAACAAGACAAAGGAAAATTCCCCAAACCCCAATAAACTGATGAAGAAGAAAAGAGAAAAGAAGAAAAAGAAAAAAATTAAAAACAAACAAAATCCACAAATGCATATACTTAAAAAGAAAAGAAATGAAAAGAAAGAAAGAAAGAAAAAAACTTCTCTGTGATTTTGAATGTGTGATTTTCTCCCAAAATATACAATTCTGGGGAAGTGTCCAAGTCAAGATGTGTTTCTGCTCATGTGTGTAAATAAAGCAGTCAGATCTCAGATCCACGGTGGATGTAGGCATTAGGTTTAGACTGAGGGTGCTGATGGCAAGACTTTCAAACCCAGAGCAACTCAGACTGAGCCTAGCTTCAGGCCATGGCAGTGGGACCTGTGTCCTTTAGCTCAAACTCCTCAAGGGGTCTCTTTTCACTCTTCCTCATGACCACAGCTGTGTCCTATGGCTCTCTCTCATTAAGTCACTGTGGGAATGTAACACTGGCAACCCTGAAGTGAAGCTGTCCTGTGTCGCTGCTTTGACTCTAGGGTTTAAACAATCTACCCTTTCTTGGAATGGCATCCAACCAAGCATTCTCTGTGGATGTGGTGGGTGCTTGGATTGGAGTCACTCAGCAGCTATTGCCTATTGAAGGACTCGTATGGGAATAGAATCTCACACTTTCCCGGCATATCACATCACCAACTGGTCTGTTCCACTGCTGTGTTTTTCCCTGAAGCCCCCTGGGTTCCCTGCCATCACTTTGTCTCTGTAGGTTTGGGCTCCCTTTCTTGCAAGCCACAGGCCAGGAGCTGGGAGAAAGTGCAGACTTTCCCTTCCCTCCTCTGTATTGTTATTTTATCTTTTTTTCCCTAAATGTTTTGTAGGTTAATTACACCAACCCCAAAGGCATGAAGTACTTCAGTGTAAAAGTTGGGGCCAGACGTACTGGAGTTCTTAGATACATGGGTCAAAAAGTATACATTGTATGCCCCACCTTGTTTCCTAAGAAACTTTCATGAATCATCTCTTAATTCTCAAAAAGCAGCCATGAGCTTGGTTCTATCATTATCATCTTCATTTTTTTTTCATCTTCATTTCTTAGTGATGGAAAGTGACGCCTTAAGAGACCAAGTAATTTGCCTAAGGTCACAGAACTAGTAATTGCCAGAGTTAGTACTTAACCCAGGCCTGCTGAATTCTGGAGCTCAAATTCTTAACTGTATGCTAAACTGCATTCCAAAAAACCCTTCAGATTAAAGTTTAAAATCTTTATCTTCTAAGGATATGTGTACTTAAATAGATTCTTGAGGATACAAGTGACTTACTTAGAATGAGGAAGTATCAGACTGGTAGATATTTTTTTTTTTGTTCCTAAAATTCCACCAACTTTCATTATCTTCTCCTTTTCTCTACTTTGCAGATTGTCTATACTGCACATGTATTCTTCTAAATGGAAAAATATATAATAGATACATTTTGGGGAAAAAAATTTCACTACCCTAGATGACTATTCTTCTCCCTGTGACACAGTTACTGTTCTTATTTTGCCAAAAGACCAAGAAAGCAGCAAACTAAAATGGTTTGAACCCTCAAACTAAGGCCCCTATGAAAGGAGTTTGGAATATGTTGTTGAAATAAGCAAGCCTGAAGGAAAACAAGCCTGTTGGTAAATGAGAAGGAGTGTGTAATCAAAGCTGACTTTAGAAGACCTATTTTTAGAAGAGCTCATGGCTCTCATAAAAACTGAGGGAATAATTTACTGAGAATAACAAGCATGACAAGCATGACTTCTGACATTTTTAGACACCCCCCCTTTGGCAATTAGATGGTACATTCTGAGCATAATACACTATAGCAGTTCTAACTTGTGACAACTTTGTGGGAGCTGTGAGGTACCTTAGGCTCCCTCACAAGGTCATAAATGGAGAGGGATTGTTTATGCCTTTCTAGGGTGCTCCTTTTTATGTGTAGTTGGGTTAAGCCAAGCAAAAGGAGAATAAACTGATGATGTTCCTTCACATTTCCTCTAGGCCCTTTCTTGAAATTAGGGGTGACCTTGGTTCATCATGTTCCCAGAATCATTTTTAGTTTCTAGTTCAGGGGCCCACATCTTTGACCCCTGGACCTGCCAACTCCCTAGCTCTCCTGTGTTATCTTTTCTCTCCTTAGATCCTTCTTCAGCCCTCAGTCTTGTCTTGGTGCCTACACTCCATTCACTTGATGACCAGGGCTTGTGGGGCCAACCTGCCAGCTCCAACTTTATCTTATCACCAACCCCCAGGGGCTCAGAAGACAAGTTCATCAGTTGATGCTGAGAGGTGCCCTCTGCTGGATGCTGATGATTCAAGCTCAAAATTAAGATCTGGAAATACCGTTTTGCAGTTTAATAAAAAGAGTGGAAACATTAGCAGATGGGTTAAAACACACAAAAAAACATGTTGCTCTGCATTCTAAAGGTGTTTAAATACCACTGAATTGTGTTTGATTGACTGTGGCTTGCCATAAAGCAGTGGTTTTCAATGGGATGGGGAGGGAGGACTTGCCTCTGGGGGACGTTTGACAATGTCTGGAGAATTTTTGGTTAACTGATAACTGGAGGTTAGGGTGGGGTGGTCAGAGGCAAGAAATGTTGCTTAACATCTCAAAATGCACAAGAGAACCCCATCTCCAACAAGGAAATGTGCAGCTCCAGTGTAGTGAACCTGTCTTAAATTGGCCTGAGAAAGCTGAAGTCAGACTAATAGAAATTTAAAGGTTTAGCCCGGCACAATAGAGAGCACCTGGGGTCGCACCTACACAGAAAGCTGACGTGGGAGGAGTATTTGAGTTTAGGAGTTCAAGGCCAGTATGGGCAAGGTAGCGAGAACTCCTCTCTAAAGAGTCCTGTGGGGAGAGGAAGAGGAGGAAAATTGAAGTTCAAAGGGATTAGAGATTTTTTCGGTGGTTCTCAGCCTTGGTTGCTGGTGCAATCACCTGGAAAGCTTTCTTATTTCAGTCTGACAGATCAGTATTTTATACCAGTGTTTGGCTCTCTTCCCCGAAGAGTCTGTTTTTATTTCTGGCTTGGGGTATATCCTGAGCATCAGGATGTTTAAACTTTCCTAGGCAATTTAAAATTCAGCTAAAGTTGAGAACAACTGAGGTAGTCCAAATCCTCAGTTTGGGGTTAAGGCATCAGGCACTGGAGGATATGGTCTCACAATTATAAAGTAGCAGAATTGGGACGAATACATGATCTCTTGAAGATAAAACATGTTTCTTGATTGACTATAATACACCGTTTTAAAATTCTAAAGCTTTTCAAGGAACTAAAAGAAACTAGCTATAAAACCATCTTGAGAAGGATGTGTTGTGCTAATATTGTTTAGACAAGATATCGTGCCTATACCTTGTACTCTGATTAGCTAATACGAAGACAATATGCAATATATCAACTATTGTAACTGTCCTACTAAATTGTTTTGAAACTTGGTTTCATTGTTTGTTTATCTTTTTTTGTCTTTAAAATAAAAAAAGAAAATGCAATTCTAAAGCTTTATCTTCTGTCTCTTAAGTAACACTTCAATACTTTTTTTCTACAAAGTGATACTTTAAAAAACATTCAAGTTTTTTAAAAATGTAAATTAAAACCTTGAGATACACTTCATAGTGTAGCTATGTAAAATATCACAATACTAAGTGATAATGAGGGTACAGAGCAACTGGAAATCTCATACATTGCTAATGGGCATGTAAAAGTTGCTCAGCCACTTTGAAAAACATGTGTCAATCTCTTACAAAATGAAACATGCATTTACCATGTGAATCAGTAATTCTACTTCTTGGTAGTTACTCAAGGAAAATAGAAATTTATATTCACATGAAACCTTGTACACACATGTTCACAGTGTCATAGTTGATAATCACAAATATGAGAACCCAAAGTCCTTAAACTGCTGAACAGATAAATAAATTGTGAAACATCCATACAATGGACATTATTATTAGTGTTTTGGTCTCAAATGTCCCCTAAAGACTCCATGTTAAAGGGTTAGTCTCCAGGGGAGCACTAGAGGAAGGTGGCAGAAGCTTTAAGAGTGTGGCCTGGTTGGAAAAAGTGAGGTCACGGGGGCCACACCATGAATAGATGTTAGAACCCGAGTCCCTCTGTTCTTTCTGCTCTTTGGCTGTAAGAAGGTGAAGAACTTTCTGCCACTTACTAACGCCATGATATACTGCCTTTCCACAGGCCCAAAAGCTACCAGGCCAACCAACCATGGACTGAAACCTCTAAAACTGTGAGCCAAAATAAACATTTTCACCAGGCGTGGTGGCGCATGCTTGTAATCCCAGCATTTGGGAGGCTGAGGCAGGAGGGTCATTGTGAGTTCGAGACCAGCCTGGGCTACAAAGTGAGCTCAAGGCCAGCCTGAACTACATAGTGAGATCCTGTCTCAAAAAGACAAAAAACAAAAAAAACAAAAACAAAAACAAAAACAAAAACAAAAAAAACAACAACAAACCCACAGAAAACAAACAAAAAAATGAACATTCTCTCTTTTTGATGTTATCTCAGGTATTTGGTCACAGCGATGGAAAGCCAACTGATACAACTACTCATTAAGGAAAGTAAACAAACTATTAACAAAAATAAAAAATCTCTAAAGATTTGCCCTAAGTGAAATAAACCACAGTCAAAAGGTTACATTCTTTGTAATCACAGTAATGATGAAATTCTGGAAGAGGAAAATTGATCAGAAAAGAAAATGGGTTAATGGTTTGTGGGCTTGTGAGTGGACAGAAGGAATGTTTGTGATGAGAGAGTAGCACAAGGGAAATCTGGGGGATGCAGCAGTTCTGTCCTGATTTTGATGGTAGTTACCTGATTATACATTTGTCTAAACTCAAAAAACTGTCTAAGAAAGAGAGAGAGATTTAGTATATGTAAAATTTTTGGTCAGTTTTTATTACTACATGTTTGCAATACATAATGATTTCATTCCTCTTGGGGGAGTAGAGCTGGTATATGTGTATAACACATCTCAATTCCTTTTTATTCCTTTTCTTTCCCATTCCATATATTGGTCCCCTTCCCATTTGAAAAAGATCTATCTCCTATTTTCTATTATGTAGCTTTTATTAAGCTATTTATACCTTGAGTTTCTAATATAAGGGAAGCAATGTGATATTTAAGCTTGTGTGTCTGATTTATTTTACTTAACATTATGGCTTCAAAGTGCATCCATTTTCCTACAAATTATTTGTTTATCCTTCTTTGTGGCAGAGTAGTACTCTGTTATAAATACTACATTTTTATTCCATTTATCTGTTGATGGAGATATAGATTGCTTCCAAGATTCAGCTATTATGAATTGTGTGGCTATAAACATGGGTATGCATGTATCACTATAATATGACTAACTCTTTTGGGAAGATACCTAGAAGGATACTTCCTATTTTTAGTTTTTGGCACTGGGAATCAAACTTAAGACCTTGTGCTTGCCAGGCAGGGAGAAGAAAACAAATACCAGGTAGCAGAAATCCATAAAAAGTTTTTAGGCCAGGCATGGTGGCACATGCCTATAATCCAGCACTTGGGAGGATGAGGCAGGAGAATCATTGTGAATTCAAGACCAGCCTGGGCTACAAAGTGAGCTCAAGGCCATCCTTAACTGCATAGCATGACCCTGTCTCAAAAAGACCAAAAGAACAAGCTTTTAGCAGGGATGAAAAAAAATAGATGAATTCAAAGAGGAAATTAACTAAAAGTTTACAGCAATTACACTCAATATTCCCTTAGGAATTTTTGGGAAATATGTAAAAAAACTGGATGATCTAATGAAAACAGTGCAAAATTTGAATGATAGATGCAACAATGCTATGGAATACTCAAAAAGATGTCAGACAGACATATCTCAAAGAAAAACAATATAGAATTCATGCAATGAAAAATGACTATATGAAGACAGAGCGTCTGATACTGAAGGCGAAATAGCATTATGATAAAGAGATCAAAGAAGCAGAAAACAAAATAAGTGAACAAGAGAAGACTATGCAGCTGCTCAATGACAAGAAGAAGACCAATCTAAGGCTAACCGGAGTAAGTGAAAATTTAGAAGATGGCACAGGTGGGTTCACTAAGATGCTTACAGAAATTATGGCAGAAAACTTCCCAAATATGAGTTTAAAATACAAGTAAGCAGTGCTTACAAAACACCCTGAATGTGCCTGATCTCGTCTGATCTCAGAAGCTAAGCAGGGTCGGGCCTGGTTAGTACTTGGATGGGAGAACACCAAACAAATATAATGAAAGGAGTTTTCCATGGCATATCCATTGTATCCAGCAAAATAATAGAATTTTAAAGGCATCCAGAGAAATTTTAAAAATCACATATAAAGGTAAACCAACTAGAATCACAGTAGACTTCTCAACACAAACCCTGAAGGCCAGAAGAGTTTGGATGAAGTATTTCATGACCTAAGAGCAAATAACTTCTAAACCAGATTAACTTACTGAGCAAAGCTATCTTTCAAAATAGATGGAGAAATAAGGTATTTCCATAAAAAAGATCAGATTGGAAGATTTATGAGTGCTAACCCAGCTCTAGAGAAGACAGCTCTAGAGAAGACCAGCTCTATATGAAGACAGAGCGTCTGATACTGAAGGCGAAATAGCATTATGATAAAGGTAAACCAACGTCTTCGACAGAAATAATGAACTAGACACATCTCAAAACAGAAGGAATAAGTGAGGTCAATGAATAAACAGCAACAAAAAAATCAGCAAAAGAATAATAAATGATACATCACCCAATCAGGAAGGCAATGATAGTAAATAACCAACACATCTCAGTAATATCTCTTCATGTTAATGGCCTTCACTCTCCAATTAAAAGATACAGATGTGGAGACTGGATCAAAAACAGAATTTGATCATCTGTTGCACTGAAGAAACTCGTCTCATCCAAAAAGATACTCATAAACTTTTTAGTCAATGAGTAAGGATGGAAAACAACATTTCAGGCACAGGACACTGAAAACAACAAGGGGTAGCAATTCTAACATCAGACATGGTAAACTTCAAGCTAAAACTTATTAGAAGGGACAAAGAACGTCGCTACACACCAGTTAATGGAATGGACAATCCAACCGGAAGACACAACTTTGATAAACATGTATGCACTGATTATGAGAGCACTTATCTTCATAAAACAAAAACTGCTGAAATCAAAAGAGCAAATGAACACTAACATAATCATAGTAGGGGATTTTAACACCCTGCTTTTACAAAAAGACATAAATTAAACAACAAAAAGAGAAATTTCAGAGCTGAACCACACCTTTGAACATAGGGACTTGATGCATGTGTAGAGCATTTCCCTCTACAACAGAGTATGCATTCTTTTCAGCAGTACATGGTACTTACCC